AGTCAGCTGGACTTGGGCACACAGGATGTTGTGCCTCTCGGAGCACTCGATGATCTCGAAAATAGCCTCGAGACCCTGGATCCACTCATCAACTAGGCGAGGATCTCCCTACCCCGAGAACTTGTCTGAGTTGTAGCCGTGGAACTGGGCGACTACCTCTGCCTGAGTCATCTCCCTCTGAGCCTGATTCGGACGGCGTGCCATCTGAATAATAAGCCGCAATACTTGGTCAGAACAGGAGATGAAATTGAATAAGGCTGAAAGGAAATGCTGAATACTGAAATAGGCACAAATTTCTTGACGAGTTTGGAAAATAACTCGATAATCTAGAGTTCGACTAGAGTTCTGAATTCTGATAGAGGACATATCTGATACTGCTCGGAGTCTTATACTGGGTTGAGCATCTAATGTTCGGATTATCTGAATCCTACTGAGCATAGACATAGTACAGTTGGCTTATATAAACTTTGAAAAAAAAATTTACAGCATGCACTTACCTGGTAGCCGGCGCGGCGTGAGTGTGGTGTGGTCGGGTTTTGTAAAATTTTCTGTCTTTTAAAACATTTAGAAGCACAAAAGTGCTCTCATACCAGCTGCAACACCCCGCTAATTAGGGCCAATTTTTCGCAAATTCTACCTTCGAAAACCCTTATAAATTTTTGAAATCATTTGCAAACTAACTCGGGATGCTGCTAAAAACTTATCTGCTTTAAAATCTGTTCTCTTTTAACTTTGGTCTAACGACTGGTTTAGACTTTAAGAAAAACAGATTTAAATCTTTTATCGAACATGCATATTAAACTGGTCCCGTTCATACTGGCGAACTGGGTAGATTATTTAAGTCTGAAAAGTACTGTCATGCAAGTTCAATCAGAAAATAAACGTAGCGGAAGTCTTAAAATGCGTGGCATAATAGTTATACAAAACAGAGTAAATAAATGTCCACGAATCGGCTTGCTGTGCGCAATCCACGACCACAACCACCACAGCTGGACTCACGCCTGCCCGACGACCCTGTCATCTGAAAAACATAATGGGGGTGAGTACTGGTCCTCTTGTACTCCATAAAAACCCAGGCTAAAGTAAACAACAACAATAATAATGATATCACAGTACTGGTATGTATAAGTAAACTGAAACTCCCGGACACTCTGGCCGATAACTGTAAACTCCCGGACACTCTGGCCGGTAACTCCCGGACACTTTGGCCATTACCGTGTGCACACTCTGATGGTATATTTAAGGCGAACTGGGCCACCACCAGAACTTAGGGAAGGGAAGCTTGGCCTTAACCCCAAGCGGATAAAACTCATACACATACCTGAACATGATATCGACTATTATACTCAATGTATAACCCAGATTGGGTCCCCATCTAGTTTGCTTTGAAAATTCGTAAGTGCGGCTTTGTTGGTAGCTGACTCCTCAAGCTACATAAAAATATAAGCAAACAAAATATACTAAGTACTATGCTCGTCATATGCTCAATAATATGCTAAGATGCTCTACTCTATCAGATAACTCATCCGGATATAATGGAACGCTCTATGGGTTCGCTAAAATAATTCTAAGTCCGGAAATTAGACTAATAAACTCAATTGGACTGGTTTGGCTCGGACTCGGGTCTGGCACAACTAGTGCGGACAGACACTACCCGCGCGGGCTCTGGAGTGCTTCTGGGCATGGCCGGACTCGGGTCTGGCACAACTGGTGCGGACAGACACTACCCGCGCGGGCTCTGGCGCGGCTAGGGTGATTAGGGCGCTGCCGGGCAACCCTGGGCACTCGGGCGTGCTGCTGGACACGTACCGAGGCCAACTGGGCACAAGGAACACCACTCGGGTTCGCTGGGTACGGCACTGAACACTCGGGCATGCGGCTGGCACGACCCAAGGGCTACTCTGCGCGGCACGGGCGACTGGCTCGAGACCACACGTGCACTGACGCTAAGACAACGCTGCCGGGCATTGTCGGAGGTGCTTGGGCGCGACTGGCGCCAAGACCTCGCATGCGGCCACGGACAAGCGTTGTTGGGGCGCTGTCGCATGTGCTGGGACCACTGAGCCTCGCGCCTACCGGGCGCGGGCACTGACTGGGGCCTAACTTAGCCTCTGATGGCACTGAACAGGGCAAACTTAGTCTATGTTGGACCCAAGCCAGGCACAGCGCGCACTATAGGCGCGGCCAGTGACCGTGGCTGGACCTTACCGGACTTCTGGCGACTACCAACTCAAACCAACATAACATGATAAAAGACACATAAAAATGTCAAGAATAACTATGAGACCTCAGTTGGTATAGAAGATGAGCTCATAGGGCCGATAAGGCTCGTGGCCACACTAAGTCACCAAACTAACATCCTCAAGATATGATTTCACTTATGGCCGAATGAAATGCATAAAAAATCATGGCTATAGAGGCTAGAACATTGGTCATATCTCACATGCATGTAACTAAGGCTCGGGGGTCCAAAATGACCTATTTTCATGAACAAATTGACCGACGCAACGAACTCCAATCATGCTAAAACTTTTACACCATCAAAGACATAATAAATGAGGGTGATTAAGCTATCATTTACGACTTGGGCATGCATGCAACTCGAATTCCAAATTTAAGGCCATTATTTCCTAAAATTCGGAACTTATGCTTAAACACATGCATGGCTTGACTTTTCTTCATGAAAAATCCTAAAATATCATAAATAGGCTGAGGGAAAAAGATAGCTCGAGCTAACCTTCTCCGAATGTGAAAAATGGCTAAAGGGTGCTTGCTCGGGCTAGTCACGGCCTTTGGGACTTAGGCTCGACTTGGGGTGGAAATTTGTTGAGCTTTGATGGTCTCAAAAGACTTAAAAAAATCTAAGAAACACTTAGAAAGTGCTATGCCTCGAGAGAAAATGGCTGCAAGTGGCTGGACCTCGGTGGCTCCTTTTCCCGAGCTCGCGCGCGTGCGGACGGCCAAGGTGAGTTGAGTTCGACTTTCCCTTTGATTTCTCTCAATATGTCCGAGTGTTTATGAGTCCAAGAGTTGCAAAGGGGCTGGAGAGTGACCCTTATATAGGCTGAGGGGCGGAGTTAGCTAGGTGGGATGGTGGGAGACCAAAATGAGTGCTTTTTCCCACTCCACATGCACATAGGGACTTGGGAGCTGATGGGGCAGCATCTTGCACGGTTTTTGGGAGAGCTTCTCAGGGCACAAATGCTGAGGGAATAAGTCAGGTCAGGTCTGGTCATGAGTGGGTGACAATCCCTTACACATTAGATTAAAATAATCACATGTGCACTCCACTAACTTAGGCTAAGGACTATTGATTATTCTTAATACTTTCTTAGGGCCATCATAGCTCAAATTAATCCTTATTAAGTCCTTAATAACCACAGCATTTGGGTCTTGAGGAAAGTGGGCCGAAACTTCAAGAATTGGGCTCAAAAAGATGCGCTGTCGCGCTGCCAGCGTTGGGACTGGGCGCGGCCTGCTGGGCGCGGCGCGGCACTGGGCCTGGGCGCGATAGGCCTGCTGGGCGCGGGACTGCTTGGGCTGCGCGTGCTAATTGACTTGGGCTGAGCTTAAGGGCTGAAATGAGGTAGAAAAATCCCATAAGTGTTCGGCCATGACTTAGGCACTCGAACTCGGTGAGGCGCGCGGCCTTGGGTACGAGGACCTGAACCTTAGCACGAGCTCGATGCGTGGCTCCTTTCAACCGAGTGACTTGATCTAGGGCTCGATAAAATGATCTCATACTTAGAAAATATTCTAAGTAAGGCTATGAGCACGACTTGGGCTCGAGCACGACTTGGGCTCGAGCAAGACTCGGGACGGCTAAGGCTCGAGACTTGACTAGGCGCAAACTAGGCACGAGGCTCATGACCAAACAACTCGGTTCCGGACACAGCTTGACTTGGACGATTTATCGAAACATACTCGATTTTGATTATTCATCAACTGGAATAATTAATCCCGACTAAATAAAATCCATTTCTAAAAATAAATGGACCGGAATTAATAACTGAGATTGAATAGCTGAATAACTAAGCTCGGAACTCGAAACGAGCGATATTAATAAAAGGAAAAATAGTTCAAACTTCGGAACTAAAAATGTCACTTTTATTAATACAGAACTGGGCTATTACAGTTATTGATATGGTTTGATGGTTTGATGCTTTGATGGTTATTCTTTGGCTATGGTATGATGGTTTAATTTGCTTATACTTATAGCAGTTGTATCAGGTTTTACAGGTTTTATGCTGTTTTGGTGTTGTAGACTTGAGTGTTGGGATGCTGTTTTTAGTGCTATATTATGTTCTAATCTTTTATATGAAATCAATATAACCAAACACATTATAAGATAACCATAACTGATCCTGTGTGAGGTTCAAACACAAGATATAAACACATGATAAGCATAACCAATATTAGGTTCTTAAAAGATAACTTTCTTTTCTGGTTGGAAACAAACTCACTCATGGAAAATAATATCAAGCCAAAACTGATCCTTAAAGATGCATTGATAACAATGTGGCAGATGCATTACACACACACATGGAACTTCAACTTCAACAAGTTCTTAAAATCCCTACACTGAAATTGCTAGTACTTTCTTACACAAATCCAAAACACTTTAATAGAACAATTAAGCACCAACAAATGTGGCTCACTCATTAGACAAATCCTAAACACTTTAACAAAACAATTAAGCACCAAGGAAATTATAAAGTACATCTTCCATTTGCGCCTCCGATTCTCCAAATTTTCAACTTCTTTCATCAGAGTATCCTTCTCTTTCAACAGAGTATCCTTCTCTTCACGAAGGTTCCAGATGACATATGCAGTACGTCAAGAAATTGGGGGATCTTCCCAAGCAAAAAAGTCACAGCCTCTATCCTGAATTAGGGAAACAATTGTGTTTCACTTATAAATAATGTTTGCGAATTTTGAAAGAAGAATAAATACATGGCGGAACGGAGAGAGCTTGAGTACACGTTTAAGAAAAAGAGTACCTCCCAATCTTCACACCCGAGGAATCGCCTACCTGGATTGGCTGGAGTCCACGAGGTCCACACCTGCGTTTTCTTCCCACATCGACAATCCGGGGAAATCCTGGAGTTACTGATCGACGAGGACATGATGAATTTGTGACTCCCGAATTTGGCAAGAATTTGGCAAGATCTCTCAGCTCTCAGCAGCTTTTCCGCTTGAGCGATTAGGGTTTGTGTGTGTGTGTGTGTGTGCAATTTTCCCTCCAATTTAAAGCATTAGTCGATCTATATTACCTACGTGGCTCATAAAAGAAAAGAAAAAATGAAAGCAAATTCCATGTCAGCAGCCGGTAAGAATTACCTACGGTAGCCGGTGTGAGGACGATTTCTCACGATTTTTGGCACTTACGGGACGTTTTCCAAAAGTGGGTATCCGAGAGGACTAAATCTCAAATTGGGTTCACTTACAGGACTAAATCTCTAATTTTTTCTAGAGATAAAATACAGTTTTACGAACATTGGGATTGTAAAACAAGTACAACTTATGAAACGATTTTTTCAACCTAAAAGTCTAAAACTACATCTATAGTGAGAGAGAGAGTAATAACTATTAACATTTAACTGCAAAAGCAATCTAATGTGTCAGGGCCATCGTTTTATTTGAACAAAATACATACTTAGAGCATCTGCATTGGTCCATAATGCGACGGCCCTGACACATTAGATTGCTTTTGCAGTTATATGTTAATAATTATTACTCCCTCTCTCACTATAGATGTAGTTTTAGACTTTTAGGTTGAAAAAATCATTTCATAAAGTGTACTTGTTTTACAATCCCAATGTTCGTAAAACTGTATTTTATCTCTATATCTATATTTAAACCCTACATAGCTATTGTTAACCGTAAATTAATGTCTGTACAGCCCGCAATTAATTATACTTCCTTCACACTTAATAAGGGTTATATGATAATACAGTTTCATTTCTTAATTTGTGCGCATAGATATAAAACTACGTACATTGTGAAATGGAAAAAGAGCTCTTTTGGATTTGCATGAATTGGATTATCCCATCTTTGGCAGCCTATGGGGTTTTGTATTACTATGCCAATTAATTCTTACGTCGTCTATATTGTAAATATAGACGAAGAAGAAACCGAAAGTCAAATTTAATTTTGCTCAAATTTTGAAGAACTTGTCAACGAGAAGACAAATATATAACTAATATTAACAAAATAATAGTAGTTTAGTTTGTTTAATTAGATTTAGACCATATACCTACATAAATTGAATATGTGGGCAAGTTCCCATCAACTACACACAATTCACATTGTTACGTGTTCATATATTAGTCCAATTCGCAAATCAATATGTTCCCACATTTTTAAGTTACTAATTTTTGCTTTTAGGTAATAGAAATGGTCAATCTCACATCCAGCTGTACTGACAAATATCATGATAATAACAAAAGACACACATAAGTTTGTGGTGATTGGCAAAAGTATCCCTCTATTATTACAAATTAATGGAGGAGGGGAGGGAGTATAAATAGTTAAATACTGACAAATTAATTAATTAAAGTATAAAGAGCTTGAAACTTTGTACTAACCCGGTTTTTAATTGTATTTATTTTATTATTTTTTTTTTAACAAATTTGAACTATACAGTTATGATCTCCCAATTAAAGCTTTTGAACATATAATTTTTCTATCTCAAAGTGTATTTCAACGGTTATAATTAGAATTATTACGACTATAATTAGATTTAGTAAAACTTAGGCTATGTTTAGTAAAACTAGTTGATAAGCTAGCTTATTATTAATTTTCGAATTTGTAGCTTATAGCTTATGACTTATAGCTGAAAAGTGAAAAGCTAGCATATATGATAAAAAACGTTTGATATTTAACTGATAAGTTAGCTGAAATAAAAATTTTAACTACCTTATTTGAAAAACTACCTAAACATAGTCTTATAAGATAAGCTCGTCCTACCAAACGAAACTAATTTAAATACAAAAAACTTATAAGCTAATAAAATAAGCTATAAACTAGCTTATTTGTATATCAAACATAGCCTTAAAACAAGCTCTTATTGTGCTCATTTAGAGCATGTTTGGATCCAAAATTTTTCAATAAAATCCAAACATTTCTAACTCAACCACTTTTTTTAACTCAACTTTAACTCAATCCCACCATCATCAATATTATCAATATAATTAAATAATATCAATCAATCATTCTTACACACCACCTTACATTAATTCACTATTCATCCACTCACATAATTTTAACTAACCATCACTTCAAATTTTCTCTCTCCTACTTTACATCAAATCAACTTTAATCATTTTATTTTAAATATTATTTAATATACACACTAACAACTAACCATACCAACCTTTTCAAAATTAACCAAATCAACCAAAAAAATCCAACCAAAACCAAAATTTTTTAATCAGACATGTGTAAACTTAAAAACAAACATAACATTTGATATATGGACATGTATTGGTCCATTATTGTAGGCACGCTCTTTATGTGATTATTATGTCTTGCGACGGCTTAATTTTCGTTTTCTCACAAACCTCCCGAGTCTTTCTTGTAATTAACTAAAAATATGGACCCCTACCCTACATACCCAAAATAAAATAAAATAATATAAATTCGTAGATTACTTGACCAATTACCTAAACATTGGAAACCACATTCGCCTCCATAAATAAATGCATGACGCTCATATATCCACACCAAACTCAACTATTCACACTAAAATAATCCATAAATAAATAAAAAAAAAAAAAAAAAAAAGTACTATTGTATTGTTAAGAATATCTATCATGTCTTCGACGGAAGTTTCGGGCTCTCGGGTGACGGAGAAGGCGGCGGCTCCGCTGCTAGCGCCGCCACGTAACGGCGGCTCCGCCGTGGGAGATTTGATATTGAGGTTTTTGCTGTTTGCTTCATGCGTTGTGGCTGTTTTGGTTATGGTTACTGGCAATCAATCGCAACTTATCCCCATCACTTTTCCTCCTTTCTTGGTGTCGCGAGATGCAAAATTCAATCACTCACCAGCTTTTATGTGAGTGCTGTTTTATATTTAATTATAAGCTGAAATCTAATTTATTTTCTAAAATCAAGATAATCAATCATATGACCGATATGATTAATTACTGCATAAAGCTTTATGTGTTATAAGTATTGATCTTAGTGTGGTTATTACTATTTTCTTTTTCTGAAAATTATTGTTGCTACCTTTTTCTTCATCAAGTTTGTTGTTGTTATGACTTTCAACGTTCGTTGCTTGTGTGAAAAGCTGAATTTGGAGCTTTTTTTCAGAACTCTTCGAGAGAGAAATTGAGGGAAAAAGAAAATAAAGAGAGAGAAGGAAAAAGAAGTGGTCTAATTTCAGTATGTAGTTAGGAAATTATAAATATAAAATTCGAAACTTCTTCTCGTTCTTGATATAAAAAAAATTAATCATGATTTTGTCCTCAAATATTTATTAACTTATTAATTTATCACCATCATGGTCTATACTCTTAGAAAATGTTTGAATTTGGTTATAATTTAACCGTAATTTGATTACCATAGATTTATGATGCAGATACTTTGTGGCAGCATTCTCAGTTGTCGGTATATATGCAGCCATAACCGCCATTCTGTCCTTTTTCGCCCTTCTCAAGCCTGGCTTTTATATTAAAGCAGTATCTCATTTTGTCATCTTTGATGTGGTAATCTCTCTCAATTCAAAAAAAAATTTGTTGAACCAATTAATTATTTTTTTTTTTTTAAGTAAATATGTACATGCATAAATTAAATGATTCAAAAGAAAGAAATTAATAAAATTGGTGCAGCTATTATTGGGAATAGTGGCATCGGCAACAGGAGCAGCAGGTGCAGTTGGGTACGTCGGATTGAAGGGAAACTCTAACGTTCAATGGCGAAAAATTTGTGACTTATACGATGGCTTTTGTAAGCACATTGGCGCCTCTTTAGCCGTTTCATTGTTCGGTTCTGTCGTGCTCACTTTGCTCATTATAATCTCGGTTCGAGCCCTGTCCAAGAGGATTCCCAAATAAACCCACAGCCTATAATAAATAATTATGTGCTTTTTCTTAAGGATTTATTTTGGTTATCAGTTGATAAAACTGTTTCAGTTTGCGTTGTATATTAATTTTACTATAATAAATAATTATGTGCTTTTTTTTTTTAATTTATTTGGTATATGGTTTTAATTTAATTTGAACCTTTCTAGGCTTTATTCCAATTTGTGAAATAAAACAAAAAAGAATAGCATGGGGGCATTTCAGAGTATAGAAAATTTAACTGGCTGATATTTTTAAGCTAGAATAAACTGCTACGGAATGTATTGCAACTGAGCCTTTTTATAGATCAAAGCAAGCAAATAAGTCTGAAACAATTTATTGGTAAAATCAAATCTAGGACGACTATTGTTCGATCAATCTCTAGTAAATTCAGGCCAAGATTTGAGTGAAGTCAAGAGATTATGCTTAGCGATTTATTGGTAAAAAATTATTACTACTTAAATACTAGCTAAAGGCATTTATGATATATATATAGACATAAAACAACAAACACTTGTGACAATTACCTAACTCTTCATTGCTGGAAGATGAATAATTAATACGATTTCTCATAGTCTCTAAACAGGGTTGAACAATAAAACCATCTACTTTTTACATCCATATATATATATAATTTCTTAGAAGTTCAAGCCACATTATATGTTTTGATGCCACCGAAATCTAAGGTGAAAAGCATTATTCACAATTAGTGAACTGGCTCATACGTCAAGAGATTTAGAAGAATCTTTCTCTCACCCTCGCCCAATTAGACAGGCTAGGCGGTCGTGAAGGCACTTGTGCCTATGCGGGCTAGGCGGACGTCTAGGCGGTCTCGGAGGCGTCTAGACGCCCGTATATTTTTTTTAAAAAATAAAAACAGATCTAAATTTATACATAAAATTTATCTTTATTAAATAATAATATTATTAATAATTATTTAACAATTATCATAGTTATAATAATTATAAATGCATTAGATTTTATATAATCTTTGTTTTCAATTATGAAAATAAATATTTTATGTATAAATTTTATAAATTAATTAAGCATTATAATAAAAATAAATAAATTTATTAATATTTTTTCAACTTATCCTTATGTGGAAGTACTAGGCACTAGTCCCCGAATATAGCTTATCGTTCACCTGTAATAAGTAATACTGTAATAATAGAAAAAATTGCATTTTTGGTCCTGTTGCTTTGGCCTCGTGGCATTTTTAATCCTGGGATCGGAGCAAATTTCTATTTAGTCCCATAACTTCGAAAGTCAACGGAATTTTAGTCCTTTCGGCGACCAAAAGTCAACATTGCGGTCGGATTTGTCACGTGACCCGCACGTGACGCACTCGTGGCCGATCTCCTCTGACTTGGCAAGTTGAGACGCGAACGTGGCAACCAAAAGAATTAAAAACAAAAAAACAAAAAAAAAACATCAAAATTCACGCGGCCATTAAAAATAAGTTAAAAAAAAAACACGTAATCAATTATTAATGGAGGGAAAAAACTTTGGCAGATGAAACATTATTTCAGACGATCAAAATCAAAACCCTAATTTTCATTCTCATTCAATCGGGTTTTTCCAGAACACAAATAGCATAGAGAAGAGAGAAATTCGAAGACAGGTCGTTTTTTAGAGAAGATTTCAGAGAGAAATTCGATTTCAGAGAGACGACGATGAGATACAGGCCGATTGAGTGAGAAGGTTGATTGAACGAACGCGAAGATGGTGAAGTCCATACGGATTAGGTCAAAAGAATATTGGGACGCAGACATCCCTGAATATGGTGAGTTTAATGCAATTTTGCATTTTTCATTGATACCCCTGTTTGTTTGTTTTGTTTTTTTATTTCTTTTTTTTTTTTATACTGACAAACTCTCTGTGTTTGTTTCTTTGTCTTTTTCTTTGTTTGTTTGTTTTTTGGGTCTGTTCTCCATAGATCGTAGTGGTGAGTTGTTTACAGTAACTATGTGGTGTGGTGGAACATTTCAAACAGAAGGTTTTGTGTGTTATCAAGGAGGGTCTAAAATGACATTTGATTTTGTCCATATGAGGTCCTTAAATAATTCCACATTGAAGAAAATGTCTGACAAATTTGGTGTTGTTCGTAGTAGGAAGTACTTCTTATTGATAAGCCATTGCTTGATGATGAAGACATTAAAATAAGGGCTTTATGTCATAAATATGGTTGTAGAGAAATGACTTTGTATGTTGAAAATGAAGGTACATTCAGTCCTTCTAGTTTGTCCATGGATGGGGGATGGATTAATTTTGACTCTGATTCTGAGAGTGGGAGTGAGTCTGAGAGTGGTTCTGAGAGTGAAAATGAGAGTGAAAAAAATGATAATGAGAGTGGGAAGGTTAGTGGTTCTGAGAGTGAAAAAAGTAAAAATGAGAGTGGGAAGGGCAATGGTTCTGAGAGTGGGAAGGGTGGTGATTGTGAGAATGAAAATATTGAATATGAGAGTTAGAATTTTATTGGTGAGAATTTAGATGTTGAAGAAAATGAAAATGAACAAGTGAACTAGAGAGGCAAGAAGATGAGGATGATTTTCTTGATAGTGATTATGATTTCAGAAATAGTAGCTGTGATGATGACGATGCATTGTTTAGTGAGAATGTGGATGCAGGGGCTAGTGGGGGGGAAGATGGTGATTCTAGTACTGATAGTGATGATGATGTGGTTGAGGTTCCTGATGATTTAGGTGAACTGAGGGGTAGTGATGATGAAGATGTGGATCCTCATGTGTTTAATTCTAACCAAGTGTGGGATCCTGTATTTGATATTGGGATGGTGTTTGCAACTAAAGAAGAATTTAGAAAAGCCATCCAATCGCATTCAATTAAAACCAACAGAAACCTTAAGACAGAAAAAAATGATAAGATAAGGGTGTATGTGAGATGTGCAGATGAAGAGTGTAATTGGAAGATAAACCTACTGAAAATGAAGGATCAAGCCAGTTTCCAAATTAGGGAAATACAACCCCATTCACTCTTGCTTTGAAACTTTTGAGGTTAAAAACATCAAATCAAAGTGGCTAAGTGAAAAATTCTTAAGTCATTTTCAAACTGATCATAAAACAAGTGTTAAAGGCTGGAGGTATATCAAAGGATCAGGCTATAGGGCTGCGAGAAGAGCCCTGGCACAACTTGAAGGAGAGCCTGATGATCAGTATTCCCAATTGTGGGATTATGCAGAGGAGTTGAGAACTTCAAACCCTGGGTCAACTGTTGTTCTTGCCACTGAGAAGTTTGATGGTGAGGAGAGATTCAACAAATTTTATTTTGTTTTAATGCTTTTAGAGAGGGGTTCAAGAATGGATGTAGGCCAATTGTGGGTGTAGATGGTTGTCATTTAAAGGGTCCACATAGGGGGATACTCTTGACTGCAGTAGGTGTAGACCCAAACAACACATTGTTTCCCATTGCCTTTGTTGTAGTAGGGACTGCGTGTTTTGAATCATGGGAGTGATTTTTCATTATTCTGAAGAAAGATTTAGGCATTTCTAGGCCTGAGCAGTATACCTTTATTTTTTATAAGCAGAAGGGGCTTATCAAAGCCTTTGATGTTGTCTTCCCTAGGGCTACTCACAGGTTCTGTGTGAGGCACATTCACAACAATTTTTGAAGGCTGGGTTTAGGGGTTTGGCATATAAGTATGCTGTGTGGAGAGCAGCACAAACAACCACTGTTGGTGAGTTTAATACAAGAATGCTTGAAATTAAAAAGATGAGTCCTGATGCTTTTGATTGGTTTCTTGATAAACCACCACAGAATTGGTCAAGAGCTTTTTTTTTTTTTTTTTTTTTTTCTGAACTGCCAAAGTGTGACATGCTGCTGAATAATGTGTGTGAAACATTTAACTCCAACATTCTTGAAGCAAGGGAAAAGCCCATTATCACTATGCTTGAGTGGATTAGAGAGTACATATGCATTAAGATGCAGAAAAAAAAAGAGATAAGGCAGAGTTGAAGTGGAAGAACAAAATTTGCCCTAACATAAACTTGATCCTTCAGAAACACTTGTCACATGTATCTGACTGCATGCCAATTAAATGTGATGATAGGCACTATCAGATTAATGTTATGATGGATCACAATTTACTGTTGATTTGGAGAAGAAAATTTGCAGTTGTAGGGTATGGGATTTGGGGGGCATTCCTTGTAAGCATGCATGTAGTGCCATAATAGCTCAGAAGCTGGTGCCTGTTGACTTTGTAGATCGTTGTTATTCACAAGAGTATTATAGGAATGTGTATAGGGGGTCAATACTAGGCACAAATGGTCCTTCATTGTGGAGACAGGCCCTTTTTGTTCCTCCTTTACCTCCCAATTTTGGGAGGGGTGCTGGCAGGCCTTCAAAGGCAAGAAGAAGAGATCAAGAAGAGCCTAAAAAGCACTGTTCAAAAAATCGGCCTAGGCGGCGCCTAGGCGCTAGGCGGTGCCCGGGCGCCTCCGATTTGTACAAATCGGCAGAAAAAATCGGCTAGGCGGCTAGGCGGCGCCTAGGCGGGCCTAGGCGGCCCTAGGCGCTCCTAGGCGGCCTTGGCGGGCTCGGCGGTCAGGCGGTTAGGCGGCGTCTAGGCGGGCGTAGGCGGACTTAGGCGCTCCTAGCGGGCTCGGCGGCAATTTTTCAATTTCTTTTTAATTTTTTTTTATTTTTTTAAATACTAATTACATTATTTTGTTCTCATATTTTCTTTAATATATATTAATATTATTATTTGGACTTTGGTGTGTGAATTTATTATATGTTGAGATAATCTTATTTTGTAGGTAGTTAAAATAAATATAAAATAAGGTATTTACTATTGATTTCTGGGCCCTGACTAGGCGCCGCCTAGGCCCCGACTAGGCGCTCTAGGCGCTAGGCACTGGTCGAGCGCCTAGCGGGCGCCTAGCGACTTTTAGAACACTGCTAAAAAGAAAGGGAAAAGAGGAGAGAGAAACAACCAATGAAAATGAAGAGGCAACAGCCAACTGTGAGGTGCAAAAAGTGTGGCATGGCTGGCCACAATGCAAGGTCTTGTGAGAAAAGAAAGGAGAAAGAAATGAACACTCTAAGCCAAAACCAAAGTCAAGTAACTCTAGAAGTGGACAACTCTCCATTGAAAAGGGCTTTTGATACAGTTGTAAGTTTTCTATTAAATGTTATACGTTATGTTTTTTTTTATTTTTTATTCTATGTTTATGTGACTTCACTTTATTCTATGTTTATTCTATAGCTTGAAATTAAAAGAGCAAAAGCTGCTGCTAATAGAGGTAAAAGAAAAAGGGCAAAGAAGGCCACAGTTGGGACAGAACAATCCTCACAAGTAAGTGTTCATTACACTCATTTAATTATCCATTTGTGTATAACAAATTCACTTCTGAAACCAATTGTTTCTAAACATATTTCTTTAACTTTAATTCAATCATTTTTTCAGAATCCTACACTTTTTCCACCAGTGATAAGCCATGAAGAAGAAGATGAGGAGTTGTAGTCATTGTGTGAACTCATTGATGAGTATGAAATCCCTAAAGTTCCCAATTAGCCCGGGCCTACCCCTTACCAACACCTGCAAAGTTCAATGCAATCAAGAGATCAAAACTAAAAGTGTTTGTATTTGTTTGAAATTGTTGATGGTCATTGAAACTGTTGAAACTGTGGTGTGTTTTGATGGTTTAGGATGCTTTTGGATGGTAATTCAAACTGTGGTGTTTTTGGATGGTTTTATATAGTTTTAGATGATGGTTTTTGAATGGTTTTTGCCTTTGGATGTGTAATGGTGAAATTTGGATTTTGGATTACGGCAGTGAAACAGGTTTATGGATGTTTTGTAATTGAGGTTATGAAATTAATGTGTTCATTCAAGTTCAAGTTAATGCATGTTAATGGATGGTTTTTAGGTTATGTTATCAATGGTTTTTGTATGAACTTTCATGTACCATTAACATTCAATTTGTTCAACAGCCATAAACAAAGCAAAAGTGAATTCAAACACCCTTAACATTCAATAGTAAATGCCAGCCATAAACACCATGCCAACATTCAACAACAAAGCAACAGCCATTAACATTCAGTAACACATAACATACTTTCATTACAACAAAAGTGAATTCAAACATAATAGTTCACCAATTGTTCAAAAACAGTCACAACCCCCATTAGCAAATAACAAACAAGAAGTTCAAACATAACAAAGCTAGTCCAACACTACCATTTCTTCTTCATAGACTCGGTCAGATCAATTGTTCTTTAAGAACATGTATAGAAATAGAGTCACAACCCCCATGAGCAACCAAAATTTGGCCTTTTTAGCGGACTTCAACTCCCTTTGCCAATCCGACATCTCTACCTCCAGCTTCTTCTTCTATTCAACCAATCTAATGTTTTCCTCTCGCAATTCTTCATTCTCAGCAAGCAAAACATTTGATTTTCGCAACAATCCAGGAATAATTTCCGTGGACCTTCTACACATAGGAGGATCAACCCAAGAGAAAAAATCACACCCTGTGTTTCCTTCTCCCTACATACATACAAAGAAAAATAGGAACAATTTTGCCCAAAAAAAATGAACCAGAAAAGAATTGGAAAACAATATCCACTTACCTCGTAGTCAATGCAAGAACGAAATCGGCGGCCGGGATTTTCAGATGTCCAAGAGGTTCGAATGACTAACCTTTCACCGCAATAGCAGTACCTATGATCCCTGTCATATGAGTTCGACGACATTTATGTGCGCATTTTGTAAATCTGGCAATTAGGATTCTTGGTTTGGGTTTGGGAATTTAGGGTTCTTGGGGGGACGATAAATTTGGGGAAATTGGGGCTAAGTGTGTGTGAGAACCGATCCCGTTTTTCCCAATCTTGCCTATTTAAATGTATTTAATGGTCGCGTGGATTTTTTTATTTTTCTGTTTTTTTTTTAATTCATTGATTGCCACGTCCGCGTCCCAGCTTGCCGAGTCAGAGGAGATCGGCCACGAGTGCGTCACGTGACAAATCCGACCGCAATGCTGACTTTAGGTCGCCGAAAGGACTAAAANAAAGAAATTTCGTCCCATGAATATGCATCGATCAGTCAACATACAGAACTCACTCCCCGATGATATTGCCCTCAAAATAGCTTCATCCCTTCAGGTTCTTTATAATTTGTCTAACCCCATTTAATCTCTCTCGTTCCTTGAATTTTGTCTGAAAGGGTTCTTTATGAGTAAGCAGGATTTGATTCCCAAAAAAAAAACTGGTCTTCTGTTTCAGGTTATCGATTTGTGTTCTTTGGGAAGCTGTTCAAGGTTTTGGAGAGATTTGTGTGGTTCTGATTGCGTGTGGGAGGCTCTATCCAAAGAGAGGTGGCCTCAATTTACTTCTCATCAGGAAATTGACTCCAATTCAAAGGTCCTTTTAGTTCTTCGGAAGAGATACTTTAATCCCAATTTTTGTTTCCCAAAATTAAACATGTATTTGAGGATCAATCTACATTATATTACCTTCAATTTATTGCTAATCCATTTTTATTCAATGATATTAACTTTTATTAGTCACCCCTTGTTCAATCTTCCACACACTGGTTTTTTTCAGTCTCATTCTACAAAACGGAGATCACAAATCGACCAATTAGGGGAAAAATGTCATAAATCTTGTGCCCTCTTTCATTATTCAAGATTTTTAAATGTTAAGTGTAGGGATGGAAGGGTTTTTACATAAGCAAACACAATGAGATGGCCGGAAAAGCAGCCTCCATAGCAAGTTTCGTGGAAAGAGCTCTGGCTTACGAGTCAATTGAGGTCGGAAATTATTTGAAAGCAATCGAGCTACTAAATTCACTTCAGTTTGGGTTTGAAGACATTCAAATGTTCTTTCTTAAACCTCAGCTGAACGTGCTTCTGAACTTGGTCGGCTTGCACTACTGCATCATATGGCTTGATGTGCCGGTAAAAGCTATGTTAAATATGGGGATAACTTCATCTTTTGCTGATAGGGAAATTATNAACTATGAAAAAATTGTGATTCATGTGTGTCCTTGAGGAAATATGTCAGTTTCACAAAATGTTCTTTGTGCACTTCCATTTTAGCAGAAAAGATTACTCTTTTTTCTTTAACACAATATTTCTTTTTTATAGGCAGAGTATGTGATAGAAGCACTAAATAGCAGCAAGGTCTCGGAAAGAGAAGTGTGTGTCCAGTGGTGGAAGCTCGGCCGGTGGTTTTACGGTTTTCGTTTGCGAGACGAGTTTCATTCAAGAAACTCGTCTTTAGAAGCTATTGCAGTTTGTAATGAAGAAGTGCTTGGGGTGCTCAAACGTGGGGCCGTGCACGAGGTCATTCGTGTTCAGATATCGGCTGCTAAGCCGACTCACAAATCCTGGTCTTGCCAAGTTGCCCAAGTTTGAAGAAATTCAATGGGTTCAATGTCTCAACTGTGGATGTATATATAAGTGTGTGAAGTGTTTGTTGTGATTGAATTTGTTTTGTGAATATAATGTTGTAAGGGAAGTGTTTTCCTCATTTGACATGGGTTGTGTAAATAAATGGAACTTGTTTTGGTCAAGACATCATATGTAAAAAAACCAAATGTTGTTAAAGGCTATGTTTGGTAAAACTGGTTGATAAGTTAGCTTATAGCTTATTTGTAATTTTTTAGCTTATAGCTTATAGCTTATGACTTATAGCTGCAAAGTTAGCTTATATGATAAAAGTGTTTGGTAAAATTAGCTGATAAGCTAGCTGAAATAAAAAATTCAACTAGCTTATTTGAAAAGCTACCTAAAGTAGCTTATGAGATAAGCTCGAACTTTTTAGAAAAGCTCGTCCTACCAAACGAGGCTTATTTGAATACAGGGAGCTTATAAGCTAACCAAATAAGCTATAAGCTAACTTATTTGGCTTAACAAACACAGCCTAAGTAGGCCTACCATTTAGTCAATCATATTTATTGGAAATAATACTGACAAGAGACAATAAACAGCATGCAGGGTTTGTTTGTTAAAGGAATAACTTGAGTGACGTAACTCAACGTGAATTTTTTTGAGTTAACTAGAGTTCTAAAGTGTTTGTTAAAGGAATAATTTGAATGAATTAACTCAATGTGACTTTTTTTTTTTTAGTTAACTAGAGTTAATTTAGAAAAAGTGGTGTAGTTAGTTGTTTGTGGGATTTTGAGTTTATATTAAAATAATATTAAAATAAAATAATTAAAATTGGTCTGATGTAAAAGTAGTGGAGAGATGATATGAAGTGATGATTAATTAAAATTATGTGAGTGGATGAATAGTGAATCAAAGTTGATATCATATGATTGGTTGTTATTATTTAATTATATTAATAATATTGAGGATAATGGGGTTGAGTTAAAGTTCAGTTAGATTTTGAGTAGAATTAATTTGGTTTGAGTTTTTCCTTTAACAAACACAGCCTTAGTTTCTATCATTCAATATTTCTCGTAAAAATATTTATAAAATAATATATAATACAAGACTCAAATAAGTTCTGTCGAACTTTGTTTAAAAATTCTGTTTCCTCTCACTCTGTAAATTTTTTAGGGAGCACAAAATTGACATGAAAATGGGTTTCGGAATGTGTGGTTATAAAAGCAAAAGAGATTCCTATTTAACTTGGGAAATTTTCATCCCTCCTACACGTTTCTAAAAAAATTACAACTTTACTACACACATGCAATTAATTGTGATTTTGCCTATAAAATAATATTTATCTACATTAATGCATAATGGCAGTTACCAATTAATTTTAACCACTCTCCACGTGCATTTAATCTGCCTGATTCAGTTACCATATCAATTCAACTTTCTCTCCCTTATTTTGCTCGAGATTTGCGTCAATTTGTTATAAAATGCTTTTTGAATTTTATTCTGAAAAAAGTTACGCAAATAACCATAAAAAAAATTGAGATTGGGGGAAAATATACCCTCATATACGCAACCGTAATGAGATTAGGGAAAATATGCTGAAAATATATTGAATATAAACCATACATATAACGGGGGAAACGATACAAACACGATACAATCTATACTGTACATGATCCTGATTTTACCGAAAATATACCGAAAATATACAGAAAAAACGAGGACGTGAAATTTTATAAAGAAAAAACAAACGATTTTGGACAAACTCCGTCAGTGGAGATGACAATCACGAGCAGGGATCCAGAATTCCAGTTCACAGATGAGGCCGAGGCCGTCAAGAGCGACGACGACCACGGCGGAGGGGGCGATGTAGTAGACGACGTTGTATAAGTCGTCATAGCAGGCGGAGGCGGAGGCGGGGGCGCATCCAGGAGGAGAAGACGAGGTCGGGAGGGTCAAATTTGATGCCTTTTTTGAACTCGAGAATTGATCGAACCTCTTCGCGGGAGGCGGATGCAGGCAGTGGAGGACGAGGAGGAAGAAGGTGAGGGTGAGAGTCATCGGCGGAAGTTTTTTGCTATGATAATATCTGCTAGAGAGAGAGAGAGAGAGAGAGTTGTTGGATACGTTTTTCCCTAATTTTAGAAATATCCCAATAACCTTATTTAATAGAATTATTATCTATTTGCAATTAAACATATAAGATTTAGTAGATTTGCTAAATATTTATATTACCTCGTAATAGTGCAAATAAGTTGTTGTGGGTAGTGCGTGGCGCAATTTCCTCATTTAACTTCACACCTCATCTTCTTCAATGGAGCCGTTTATCAAGTTACAAATTGTTTGTGCAATTGTGATTTAAGTGGCTGTCGCTTGTGAGCATTTACACGCTTATTTTAATTAATGGGCCGCCAGGCCTACGCAACCTGTTGCCCGAAATAAGGATAAACTGGATTGCCACTTTCTCAACCCACCAACCAAATGCCCCATCATATTGACCCATTCTAACAGCTCTACGATTGACACACCCCACCTAGAGATAATTGAGTACCTGCATATAATATGTTCATACCTTGAGCATTCATATTGTATTTAGTGTATTTAAATCCTTCAATTCATGGTCTGAAGATATATAAGTTTTAAACAAGTTCTACAAGTCAGCTAATGGCTTCTTTATGAAGCCATCCATGAATTGATATATTGACACTTATTTAAAGTGTTTATTGTATGTCACGTGTTAATACACAATTTTGCATAATTGTAGATGACTCCATATAATTTGATAATAAAAAGAAATTAGAACGGTACAGTTTCATTGAAAATTAAAAAAAAAAAAGAGAATAAATAGATTCATTAAAGTTGTTTATTCTAAAGTTATTTGACTATGTTATTAAAATAATTTACTAATTGTTTTTAAATAAATTTTTTCATGAGATACAAAAGAAAAAGATAATATTAATGTTAAAATAAATAACTTAAAACAATTGTTTATAATTATGCAATTTATATTTATTGTGAATTATTATTAGTTGGTATTAGCATTAATTATTATATATTATAATAGAAAAATACATTATTACACTCAATAAGATGCATTAATGTGAGAAGTAAAAAAATATTAATGATAAATTTTGTAACCGAAAATGGAGGGAAAATTTTAGAGGTTTTATTAAATAGGTTTTATTAAATGTTATTAGCTAGTAATTATATATATATAGATTGGAAGATAACAACATGGATTTCAGGCAAAGACACCAAGTACTTCAAAAAGAATACTCATCAATGACAAATCTGTATGAACATCACTTGCTCCAAAAGTAAATTTAGGGCACAAGTTTTCACTGGAAACGCTACTTAAAGCGTCTCAAGGAATTGAGCAAAGCTCGGATATTTTGGCTCCCAACCAAGTTCTGCACGAGTTTTCGAGTTGTTCAATTTCTTACCTAAAGGGTCTGAAGTTCCTGCGGAGAACTTAACAAACATCAACAAGTGATTAAACAAACAATAATAGAAACAAACTAAGATGCAAAGCTTACCTGTAAAAGCCTCAAACTTCTTACTATATTTTCCACTCTTATTAACCAAGTCCATCAATTCCTGTCTGGAAAACATATGTCATGGCTAATTAGAAGCAATTTCTACACTTTCTCAATCCTACTAAATTCAAATTGCTACTTATTGAGTTTAAACCATGGAACCTGGATATAGGGTGATTATCACATCCTAGAAAGATCCTGCTGCGAAGATTCTTTTTTAAGATGGCAATCGAAAGAGAAGCTGCATCCTATATATTTGCACGAACCCATTTCATTAAATCAAAATTTCCAAGAAATGAATCCCAAGTAAGAGTCCGTTGGAATATCAACAGTCACCTCATAGTGTATTAGATTAAGAATGTGACCTGGCCGAATATCAACTGCCCCTTTTTCCAACCAGTACATATGTGCACCTCTATCTACTTTGTAATCCCAGTTAAGGTGGTTGTTGTATTATCTTATTTCAGTTGAAAAGCAATAAGGGCTCAATCTGAGTTAAAATTAAAAAGAAAAGGGAAGGATATGTAAAGTCCAGCTAGTCTGACAACGCAACCCCCAACCTCGAGCACTACTTTCTCTGCCTTTAGTAGATTATCTGTCCGCGGGCTCCTTCCAATGGGTACTACTGGAGTGTCCTACATAAACAGAAAATAATAATTAATTACAAATAATTCGCATGAGAATGGAAGTTCTATATTTAATAGTGTCACAAAAATAAATGTTTTTTTTTTCAAGCTAGATGAAATACCTCGTCACAATCTCCATTGTCGTTGCAGTCATAGGGGGCCGAGCTTGAAGTAAATAGGAAGGAACCTTCACCATTCCAGCTTAAGGTTGCTTCCCTAGTGTTAGCATTAACACACAAAGTGAAGTTGAATTTATTTCTACATCACGGGGTCATATATATGTATAACTCTCTGTGAACAGGCATCCAAAAATGCAAAAGACAGATAAACTTGTAGTTAATTTACGCTGAATATTGATTGAAGCGAAAGATGCATAAAATCCCACATATACACTGACGAAACTCCTTTTGATACAATTTATTTAAACTTCAGGCAAGGTGATGGCAATGGGTATATACAGGTCAAGCATGGGCCCACCTCCACAACATCCCAATTGGGACAGGACATCTGTAGAAAACTGACTAAGCTGGGTTTGCAGTTTCATTTGTTTGGACTTAACATCATTTGGAACCTAATCATAATGATTCACTTGTGCATATTGCTTAACAGGACATATACTCAAAAATATCATAGAACAATGATGAAGAGAATACGGAAGTAAAAAACCACACACACACACACACATACACTGTTATGCACACCTAGGATGAGGTTCAAATGAGAACCAAATGATAGTGTGAGAACCGCTATTTTTAATTGTACGTAGTGCTATGATGTTTGCGTTTTAATGCTATTTTTAATCATGATGTATTTGACTAAAAAATAACAACACAATTTATATTAGCATTTGTGAAAATAATAGCACAATGTAATATTAAAAATAACATCATACATAATTAAAAATAGCATCAAGTACGGTTCTCACACCAGAATTAGTTTTTATTTGAACCAGTCACACACACACACACACACACACACACACATACATTGTTATGCACACCTGACTTCACCGGGATAATCCGCGGTTCCGTATGGAGGAGCACAGAAGATGACTTGGGAAAACTTGGAAGCTACTTGGATTCCCCCCTTGAGAAATGGACTGATCCCCATCTTTATTAACTCATCATGATGACCAGTCGTTAATGTCTGCCCATAAATTTGACATCCAGGATGCTCCTAAATATGGTGAAAACTCCGAATTGTTCAGTATCTTTATATTATATAAATTTCTAATAAACACAAAAGGAACCATTACCAGCCTAATTCTTGAACTCGTAATTACGCACAACGACCTCATGCAGGACAATTCAAATGCCGGTAACATATATTTTCCCGAAAGTTATTTCTAAGGTGGTCAAGGGAATCCTAGAACCCAGGCAATGGCACTTAGAATAGCGATACATGTACAATACTATTGCCTCTTGCCTGATCAGATATTCATATGAATGTTCAGAAAGAGCTTTAATATTTTCTCTAAAAAAAAATACCTTCCGCCATTTTTCAGCCATGATGCGTCCCAGGACCCCTGGCCCAACAATCAACAAGTCATCAGCTCCAACCTTTCTAGTAGATGAAGCTTCCAATTCGTTGTTAAGTGCCCCTTGTACATATTAAGCACATAATTAATGGCTGCATAAATAAATACACACACCTACACGAACATGAAGCTAGAATCAACATACACATTATAGAGAACATCTACTTCAAATCGAATCTTGTTAAAACCATGCAAATCTGGATCTGAACAATTGGATTAGCCTACTTAAAAACAAATTGCTTTTCGGCTTTGCGAAAATTGTACTTGGCACATTTTGAT